GCACGAGCTTCTTTTTTACGCTTGACAATGAAAAATTAAAAATTAGCTGGGGATCTCACCGATATGGAACGTGTAAGTTCAAAGGAACCTGCAATAACCTCTCACCTGAGACTTCGAGGTCACGGACGACTTCAGCACTTCATTTCTGAGATATAACCCCTACTATGCGATGGTTTACTGGAGAGTCATAAAATAACTACAAGACCAAGTGGATGAGCATTTTAGGGCGCTAGGGGGGGGGGCATTTTTCACTTTCGCTAGTTTTTTTGTACTAGTTCCTATTGAAGTAAACATCTCACCATTGCAAGGCCTGAAGACTGTTGTCTAGTGAACGAAGCTCATGTCCTTGCATGGCTATGAAAAAAAATTTACAAGTCCTTAAAGAAGGCTTGAGATGGGATTCAGCAAAATGCACCCACTGGGCCAAAGTGCGCCCTCTTTCGTTCTATGATCCGGTCGTCAGAACGCCAAGGACCCCAGAATCCGATTCGGGAACGGTTTTTCGAACTGCGACCTTTTCGGGAATTATGATAGTGTCAAATGTCAATATTGAATGAATGATAAAGACGTCGAGTAAATAATCTCGTTATCGCTCATGTTCACTCGCCCGAAGCAAACTCTGGACTTCGCACCTTGGTGAAGTGCCCCCTCCCTGGTCAGTCGATGCAAATGTAGGGAGAGGTATTCCAGCGGCAGTGTAGATATCCCGGTTGTTGAAACGCGCAGAAACCTCTGGGGAATCGTACTGTAAGACAAAATTTCGGGGATCAGAAATTCTATGCTGGCACCGCCTTTATCCGTTTCGATGCACGACGCGTCATTCCAGTTACCGCGCGCTGCGAGTTATTGTAACGTGCGGCGCTCATTCGGTATTTTTGATACACATTCTGATTTCAGTGAGTGAAAGACATCAAGTGTAAAGGTAAACAGGGTTACGGTATGTTTCCACTTGGGGGGAGGGGGGTGATCTCTACACGATAGCATACAGGTTTGCTGCAAATCAGTAGCCTCCTTGCCTTGGTCACCGGTTATATCGCTTACATATAACCTGCAGAAAATCTGAGTTTTGGGCGCTGATAACATTGGGGGTGCCACACCTGCAAGGGCTTGTTAGCATACAAATCCTGTGAGCTGCACACTGCTGGATACTGGAAAACCTTGTCAACACCCTGTGAGTCTTGTTATCACCTGTCGATCACTCTGTAAACTCCTGTCAAACTTGTCAGAATGACCGGTCAAGATTTTGAAGAAAATGGAGAAGGGGTTTTCAAAAGACCCCAGTACCAGTTCGCCATGCTTGTCAGAAATATACGGGGCACATGACCGGAGTTCACAGTATTTGCAGGGTGAAACTGGCGATCAGACGAAAGTAAAGACAAGGACTCATACTGAAAAAGCCTCCAGGTTGCCCCCTCTTGCTAAGCTTATTAGCGCCAAATTTTGTGTATTCTTTGCAAAACTCTTACCTTCTTGGCGCTATTACGGCTTGCATACCTAGTGAGTGGAGAGCTTCGGCTCAACCATCCATGCGAGGCAGCTGATTTCAAACTTTTCTATAGCTGGAAGCAAGCGTTCCTCTTTCTCTGGCAGTACTCTTCTTTATAATATTCAATCCAAACCTGCAGCGAACTGCCGAGCCGAGGCAGCTCGTGAATCGATAAATGGCAGGACCACCCACACGGCACGTCGCGCAGAACCGAACTTCTGCGAAATACGACCCTCTCTTCCTCCTCGCTGTGGATCCCCAATGTAAAACGTGCCCTCTTCACCATTACCTGTGCTGCCTACTAGCAGTCCGGCTGGCGAAAAAAAATCCACAAATCTAGAAATCCTCTTTACAATTTTCTGCAGTTCAACCTAGTCCTGAGAACGGTCGAGGAAGTCTACGCTAAAATCAACCCCATGGTGTCGACCCTGCATCGCGGCGGCTGAGACCAAAGCACTGACGAAACGTGAGAGCGACGACGGCGAAACGTAGACCCAATAAAGCGCTTCAGTCTTGTGAAGGCTCATAATGTACTACAACTCTTCCTCCCAATCTTGGCATAATGCCAAGCTTGCAAGAAAGTTCAACAGTGGACTAGTTGGTAAATTGTCCGCCATGAAAAAGTCGAAAAACAAGAGAAAGAAAATCTGCTCCAAAGCCTCTCTATTTGATCCTTTCAAAAGAGCAACTTGCTGCAACCATGCGAAACGGCTTCCAAAGTGAATGATTTCTTTCGAGCAACGCTGTTGGGCCTGCGATGTTCAAACATGCCTTCCTTGAAGAGGTCTCTGGCCACTCCCACAAGAACACAATTCGGAAATGAAATTTTTCTCTGGTGAACATCATAATGCAGCAGCTGTGAACGAGATAATCACTTGTTACCAGAGAGGATCAGGTTTTGTCCGTCCGTTCAGCTCCTTGAGCTCACAAATATCGAGTGGAGACGCTGGCTCCTTTACTCCTTGTAGAGGCATTATTCGACAACCAAATGGGCAGAGCCAGCATGCCTTCTTCTGAGCCCATTTTTACCATACTCGAAGAAACGGCACACTAGTGAGCAACAAGAAGTTTACGAGTTCCGCCCATTCGGCTATCGAAGTGAAAAAGAAACTAGAGAAGATAGAAGTAGAAGCAACACTCTTCGAGGGAGATCTTTTTAGTGTGCATCTTTTCATCTTTTCAGCAGCAGCATCGCAGCAGTGCTTGTGCCGCTCATGGAAACATCGCTTGTGTCTGCAACGAACTTAAAGACACATTCCGTAAATACTGCATGGGGAGGAATGGGCGGAGACTCGCAACCTTTGCCTTTCTCATTGGTGTGTCCCTCTTTCTAATACAGTAAGGAAGTGGTGGTACGCCTCAATGAGCAAAGCACGCCGGTTGTTGATCTCCGCAAAGTCGACTACCGCGGGATGTGTACCTGTCCATTTTTCTTGTAAAAAAAACAATTTTAAAAAAAGTTGTTCATTTGGCGATGATATAATTACTGGCACAACATGGTGATTGGTAATGTGAGCTCACAAAAGCATAGAAATGGAATGGATGAAAATCATCATCACGGGGGGATACAAAATTACATACAACTTATAAGGAATGCGCAATAAACGGACAGATCGATCGATCGAAGCGAATAGCACCATCATATGGATAGAAATCTATAGAATCTCTTCTTGAAAGGGAAGGATTCTGTCTACGATCTATTGGGAAGAAATTGAGCTTGAGCAAGAAGCGGAAGGTGTTGTAAAAAAAGGACACTAGATTGGGTACGGTATGAAGGGGGGGGGGTGGTATGGCGTCATTTTGGACTAGATAAGACGATAAACGAATGCTCGGGTAATGGACCCGCAGAGAAGAGCTATATAAATGCAAAGTGACAGTACATTTGGCTGCAAACACAATACATTCTGCTCAAGGACAACGTGGGCAAAGCGCCGAATCTGGGTCTTTGAAATAGACTACAGTATACCACAGAGGTGGAATCTAGGCAGAATTCACACTCCTCATTCTGCGTTCAGAGCGATAGGGAGACTAGAAGAATAATGTGGCACGCAAAACATAGATATCGATCAGCTGCTTGACGCCGAAATAGCTTTTTGTTACGCGACGGCGCGACAAGTGGCGTTCAAACTTCGTTACATTCGCGCGATTTTAGTATTGTTGGCCGTGCTCCACCGCTAACGATTGGACCGCTGCGACTGTCGAAAATGGTCTATTCTTGAGGTGATCGAATTAACAGCTGCAGGGGTCCCAAGATTAACGACAGAGCGCGATCGGTGCCACGCCCGAACCTCGCAACTCTCAAATCGGGCGGCTGAGGGGATCGAGTCGCGAAGTGTGGACGCTACTTAAAAGGTGCACGACAGCAGGCCTCGCCGCTCGCTGCGAGCTAACAAATTGTGCGGCAATCAGCTGTTTCAAAATTGACACGCGATTTTGCTGCGACGCTTGCGCGCGGAGACTTTCCTCTCGCGGCCAAATATAAACACGGCCCAAACAGGCAGAAATGAGTGCCACATTAGGGTTATTCAAAGCCTGGATATTGATCCATGGCAGGACTGAGTGTAAGCTCCCTGACTACTAAGCTACAAGGTCAAAAAGCAGTAGAAAGCACTGATAGCAGTATGAGATTTCGAAAAAGTCAAACAATCTATGATTATCCAGCTTTCTAATAAAACTGATATCCGTTTACAAAGTCCCTAAGATTTGTTACTGGTAAAATAATTACAAAAGAGATCACCGAGAGGTCAGGGCAAGTTCAGCGAGATCACATGAAATGGAAGCGCATTGGAATGAATATTAAGAGTGATCGATCGAGATCAAGCAGTGAAGAGAAAAAGTGGTGAACAAAAAATGTATATTGATCGAGGCGAAACCCTTGAAAAGGTCACGAAGGATTCTGGCATGCGAGACAACAACGATCGCAGAGCCATGGAGGACGAAAAGCGATTCGTGTCGTCAAAAATCCGTCGAATATGTTTTGAGTTCGCTGAATACCTCGGTGAAAAACGCAGACGACGAATTCAGTCGAAGCATATCTTGGCTGTGATTCGTCACAATCGTCACACATCGTTCCCAGAATTTATCACGGTCCTGAAAGTTTATTTCTAATATCGAACCAGTGCCCTGAACATATCTGCGGAATCCTTTTGGCGCCGGCGCCGGGAATGGCGCTGGCGGAACTTTGCGTCACGACTGATCCTACCAGATTTGTTGCTATTTCGCGTTTGAGGTTACCTAGGGGACTCATTTCCAAGCATGATATAAACGTCTCGGCGCCAGCGCTGTGTGGTGACTAAATCGCACGAGGAGTAAATCTCTTCTCCAATAAGCTCAGCTTTAGTAAAGCGCGTACGATAAGGCTGCGTTCATACTTCGCGGCAGCGTCCATCAGCGATCAATAGCGTCCACCTCCTCTTTAAGGCTAGGAAAGTATGGGTATTAACTAGCGTCTGCCAGCGTCTACCAGCGTCCACCAGCGACCAGCATCAGACTGCTGGTAGAGGGTATGGTACGATAGGAGGGTATCAGCTGGCTGCTACGCTCCTATCTCCCCATACTATACTTCCGGAGGCTAGTAGACGCTGGTGGACGCTGGCAGACGCTAGATCGATACCCATGCTTTCCTAGTCGCTGACGCTGTCCGGACGCTCGGAACGCTAGTGGACGCTATTGATCGCTGGTGGACGCTGCAGCAAAGTATGAACGCAGCCTAGGAATGCCCCATTTTAACACTTGCGTTAAAAAAGATTGTCCGATCCGTGATTAGGACACCAAGCAACTACGGCTTCAGTTTTAAGTTTTGGCGGAAAAAAATTATGGTGCCGAATGGCGCCAGCGCCAGGAACCCTTCTAAGCAAAACTTCAGCAAAAAAAATTCGAGTTTTCTCAATAGAAATAGTGGAACACTGCCGATAACTATATTCCAAACTTACAAGTTCGATGAGGAAAGGCTTCAAAGGGTACGAGATTTCATTGCCCATATAGGAGTAGCTGATATAGAGACATGTCAGTACCCATGCGTGTAAATCGTCCACAGTATGGATGGATTCCTCATCTGAAAACGCTTAACTTTTGAGAAACTCAGCAAAAATTCTTTTCACACGAACTTCTGGTCCTTTTTGGGTTGTCCATATCCATAGGGACTTGCTTACCTGGTATTACTTCTCTGATAATCAGAAAAACGAAAACCAAATTTGCCGGATTGATGAATGCAACATCCTGCCAGCCCTAAAATTGAAACTTTGAAGTCACAAGCACTTTATTCTATACTAGTCAATATTTCTCTGATGCTGCCACCCTTTCGTTCCCCATTACGTGGGATGGGGAAGTTTTATATTGCCATGTTTTCCCCGCATTCTGCCTGCTCACCTGTAGTAGGAGTGCTCGATCAACAGTACGTAGCCACATGACGAGATGAGCTGGTTCAAAGGCAGCGATATGACTGTTCTGGGCGATAAATTGGCCAAGACCTCGTAGTAACTCGGATGTTGACGCCTGGATTACAGTACGACGTCGAGCAGACTGAAAGCAAACAAAAGCAGAGTAAAAAAAGGGAATTGAGTAGGAAGGAGGTAAGGAGTCTAATAGTTACATTAAAGACACGTTCCGCGATAATCGTATGGGCGGAGACGGTGACCTCC